TTATTTCTAGTAAAACCTATGAAGATAAAAAACAACAAATCCATTAATGTCACACTCCAGGCAACATATAGAAACTAGAATGAATTATGAATCTTGATTATGAAATCTGGTTAATCATTTTCACACACTGCATTATGTTTTTTAGGCATCAAGGCAGAAAGAACATGAGCTGTGGTCATTTCTCACCATCCTTTGAAGCTTCACTGACACCATGGATCCCACCCATCCCCACAAGCAGTTCTTGCTATTGGCAACTTACTAAACAATCAGCTCCACTCAATGTGTTCTGGACACACCTTTCCCTGTTTTGCAGGGAATTCTTCATAAGAATAAATTTCTTTGGTTCTTAGGAGAATATTATTTTCTAAACTTTAGGCATATCCCAAACCCTATACCAGTGATGGTGAACCTATGACACGCATGTCAGAGGTGACACGCGAACTCATTTTCTTGGTTGATTTTTCTTTGTTAAATGGCATTTCAATATATAAAATAAATATCAAAAATATAAGTCTTTGTTTTACTATGGTTGCAAATATCAAAAAATTTCTATATGTGACACGGCACCAGAGTTAAGTTAGGGTTTTTCAAAATGCTGACACGCCGAGCTCAAAAGGTTCGCCATCACTGCCCTATACCTTAAGTTCACAGTGCTATGATGTTAAATTTCCATATATAAAACACATATGAAAAATAAGGACCTGGAGAGTATTATGCTAAGTGAAATAAACCAGTCAGAGAAAGACAAATACCATATGATCTCACTAATATGTGGAATCTAATGGTGAATTACCCAATTTCCCCAACCACCCCCACTCACTCCTCACTCCATCTTAAGTTATCAGGAACAGACTGGCAAATCAAAGAATGCCAAAGCATATTTCTTTTAAAAAATACTTCATTTGTAAATATGACACTAAATTACATACTGTATGCCATTTATTTTATGCACTAATTTAAGGTAAGTTTCATACTAATTCATAAGGATAGTGTAGTCAAAAATAATTTCTTGCAGTAATTTTAGAAATCAATATAAAGGCTTTACAAAGTTGGAGAAGTTTTTATAACTTTCTCATTTAACTAGAGGTTAAAGTGAACAGTTTACAGAGAGCTAAGCAAGGCAGGTATATTCAAAATAATCTACTTAAATTTCATAATTATTACCAGAATGATTGATTATTGTTACTGATTATATATATACTAGAGGCCCGGTGCATGAAATTCGTGCATGGGAGGGGGTATCCCTCAGCCTGGCCTACACCCTCTCCAATCTGGGACCCCTTGGGGGATGTCCAACTGCCAGTTTAGGCCCGATCCCTAAACCGGCAGTCGAACATCCCTCTCACAATCTGGGACTGCTGGCTCCTAACCGCTCATCTGCCTGCCTGCCTGCCTGACTGCCCCTAACTGCTTCTGCCTGCCAGACTGATCGCCCCTAACCGGCTCCCCTGCCGGCCTGATTGATGCCTAACTGCTCCCCTGCCAGCCTGATCACGCCCAACTGCCCTCCCCTGCAGGTCTGGTTGCCCCCAAATGCCCCCCCACCCCCGCTGGCCTGGTCATCCCCAACTGTCCCCCTGCCAGCCTGGTCTCCCCACGCAGCCTGCTGTTCAGTCATTTTGTCGTCCCTCACTAACCCCCCCGCTGTCCTTGTCGCCCCAAGCAGCCTGCTGTTTGGGCATTACTGTTACTGTGACGGCGTCCCGGACAATTTGCATATTCCTCTATTATTAGTATAGATATGAAACTTACCACACCAAAGCTGTAAATGTCAGATTTGGGTGTTATTTCTCCTCGCAAAGCCTCAGGTGCCATATAAGCTGTTGTTCCCACAATTCTGCTAGTCATGACTGTCTGGGAAAACTTCTCAGAAGCCCGTGCAAGCCCAAAGTCAGATATTTTGGCTGTAAAGTCTCCATCTAGTAAGATATTTGCACTGAAAAAAATGTAAAATTTGCAGAGAAAAAAATTTATTAAAAATATTTAATGTTGACTATTGCAGATATCCTCCCTTTGCTCACCTCCAGTCACCTCCACATCCACCTCCCTTAACCTTTACCACACTATTGTCCGTGACCATGGGGTATGCATATGTTTTTTAGCTAATCCATTCACCTTCTTTATCCAGTCACCCCCCACCTCTTCCTCCCCCTCTGACACCCACCAGTCTGTCCCATGTATCCCTGCTTCTGGTTTCATTTTGTTCCTCAGTTTATTTTGTCCATTAGATTCCACATATTAGTGAGATCATATGATATTTGTCTTTCTCTGACTGGTTTACTTCACTTAGCATAATACTCTCCAGGTCCTTTTCAGGCAAGTTAAATGGTTTCTTAAATAGCGTATGAATATATGTATGTATGTATGTATTTACAGAGTATACCATGTTATAATATACATCATAAAAGCCTGAAGTTTGTGTAAATAAACGTAGATTTCAGATTAAAGCTAAAAAGAAATGACTGTCTTATATTCCCTTCTGTTTCTTAAGAAAAAATTAAGAAAATAAAATTGAAATAATGCTGTTCACATTAGTGAGAGATATTTTCATTATTTTACAAATAATTTATCACAGGGTCACTTCCCTTAAGGTCTGCCAAAGCACCATTCTTAACTCCTTCTGTAACATTTCTAAATTCATTTAAAAACAAATTTCCAACCCAAGTATCTCAATTTTTCATTTCTTTTTTCTTTTTTGTACTATCTGAAATCTTTCAAAGAAGAAAGAATACAGCTAAAAGATCTTCCTTCCTTCATTATATGCATTCACTCATACACTCATACTTTCATTCCACAAAACTTACTGAGGACTCCCTATATGTTATAGGATTTAAGCTCAGTGCTGGACATGGAGGAAATCTTCAAATCTTGTCTGTGACAAAGGTATATGCATAAATATTTTTTTAATCCTCACTTGATGATATATTTTTATTGATTTTTAGAGAGAGCGGAAGGGAGAGAAACATCAATGTGAGAGAGAAACATTGATTGGTTGCCTCCCTGGCATGACCCAACTGGGGATCGAACCCACAACTGAGGTATGTGCTCTGACGGGAATCAAACCCACATTTTGATACATGGGAGGACGCTCCAACCAAGTGAGTCACCTGGCTATGGCCATGCATAATTTTAAAAATCCAATAAATACACTATAATGGTGATATTAGATACAAAATGCAGATAGAACAACTATATGAATAAAAGAATTGGAGAAAATTCCAAGGAAAAATGTGCTTAGTCTTGAATAATTATTAGAAGTTGATGGTTAAATGAGAGAAAGAAAGGCATTTCAGGCAAATGGAGCACCATGTAATAGTGATAAAAAACATGACCAATTTCAATAAACTGGTATGCAGGCTTGATCTTTCGTTTCATGGGCCTGGCAATGCGGGAGTGAATAGGTAAGTACTGGTACAGACAGGTTAAAGGCCGGATTAGGAGGGTTTGTAATAAAGTCAATGATAGATAGCCAGGGTTTAAATAAATGCGGAACACTGGGGAGAAAAAGGACATCTATAATCTGGGAGTGCTCTAGATTAAGACATGCATGTGCATAGGGAACAGAAAGAGGGAGGGGCAAATTATTCTTTAAAGATGGTTTTTCCAAAAGCAGCATTTACCTTTTAATATCTGCTATGAATTTGATGGTTTTCATGTGAAAAACTGGATGCGATTAGCTGCACGCTGAGAAATCCTGCATCTCATGTGCCAAGAAAGTGGTGGAAGTATCATCCTTATGAAGGAAGAAACAAACCCAATTCAAAAATTAGGAGGATAAAAATACCTACAGTAAATACATAACAGAAAATGTTCCTAAGCAACTTTTAAACAGGGGTTAGCATTTCTCATTTGACAGTAAAAATATGTAAGAGCATCTTCAAATTCCAGTCTTGACTAATATTTTACATTTTAGATGATCACCTAATAGAATGACAACCCCAGTTTTTTGCATATCAAATGTATAATTTTCATAAAGTGGGAAAAATATTAAGATTGATGCAGTTTTAATGATCCTGTCACAAGATGAATATTAATATCCAACAAAGAAACAGAAAGCCAAAAATCTGATGAACAAATATCTTACCAAGCAAGACAGTCTGTCTAGCAATGAACCATTAGGCATGTAAACATATACTAAGCAGAGGTCATCTCCATCACTTGAGAAACCAAGTAGTTCTACTAAATTTTCATGTTGGCACCTGTGACAAATAATTTTTCACTCAAAATTATTATGATACACACATATATTCAGCTGTAGGTTGGAAGTTATTTAGTTTAGAGCTTTAATAGAAAAAAGATCAAGAAAATAATATGCTTAATATCATAATATGATATATGCTTATATATGTTTCTTATAACTTGATAATCTTCTGCAAACACTTCCCCTTTTAGTCAATATTGATCAACTTAGAAGCAAAACCTCTTTCTATTTTATAGTAAAAGCTCAATAATTCAGACCACTGGAACTTGTGATAGTTTGGTTAAGGACTAGGCTAATGTTTACTTTTGTTTAGCACAATTTCAATTATAGCACGAATAAGATTTCAAGAAGTCCGTTGAAACCTGTATAAAACCCTTTCAAGAATGCTCTAACACATCCAAAGCACTGATTTATTGACATCTGATCTTTAATCACAGCTAATCTACACATTTGTGTATTTCATCATATCTGATTATTTATAAACTAACTTGAGTTTCTTTATATATGTGAGAATAAAAAAAACTAAGAGAGCTAAGTATAACAAAACTGCAGACATATGTGATACAGCAGAAAGAAAACTGGGTTGTGTTCAGTGCTAAGTTTCAAGTCCAGCTCTGCCACCTCCTGGATATGTGAACTATAGCAAATTAACAACTCACCAAGCCTCAGCAAATTTGCCTGCTAAAAGTGGATAATAATACCTATGTAACATGGATGCTGTGAGAATTAAATGAGCAAATATATGAGAGCCTTGACAGGTACCTAGAGCATGATAAATATTCCATCCTTTGCTTACTCATTTGTTCATTCAAAATGATCTATAATTCTAGCATTTCGTTATTTCAAATCAGAGTTTGATTTGAAATCAGTCTATCCTCAAAAATATTTTATAAAGTGCAAATTAAAATGACAAATTCTCCATGTTCCAGCAAATTAGCACATTTTAGAAATGAGTAGATAAAATTTGCTGAGTTTATACTGTATATAAGGCACTATAGTAAATAATTTCCCTGCTTTGTTTATTTATTCTTTACAGCAAAATAATGAAGAAGGAACTATTATTATTCCATTTTATAGATGAGAAAACTAATGGATAGAGAGTTAAGAAATGTGGCTAAGGTTATTCTGCTAGTAAGGTCCAGAGATTGGTACTTATTAAAAAATAGTAATAATATTCAATGGTGGTGAGGTAGCAGTGACATTTGAAATTGTAATACATTGATGATAAGAGAATTAATTACCATAACTTATATATAAGGCCATTTGTACATAAACTTGGAAAGTCTTTAAAAAGTTCATGCATTCTGAACTATAATTCTTCTAAAACTCTATCCTGATGAAATAAGCAGAGTTGCATTTAAAGATTTATGTACAAAGAGATTTAAAGGAGCTTTAATTCGTAATATTGAAAATCAGAAACAAACCTACTAGGGCAATGATTAAATAAAACATAATCCTCATATATGACAGAATTTTATACAATAATTTAAAATGTTTTAAAATTATTTTTAATGACTTGGGGAAATGCTATGCAGATATCATGAAGAAAGTACATCAAATATTAGCAGTGGTTATCTCTGAGTGATATAATTAAGAGGTGATTTTTATTATTTTAAAAATATTTTCCTATATTTCTCAGATTACCTACTTTGAACAAGTTACTTTAGGATTGGAGAGTGGGGTAGAAATGAGAACAAATTGTAAAAGTGTTTTAATTTTTCTTATCACTATGCATTATTTTTACTGTAAATAAATTAATTCCAGTCTATTATTTCTTTCTTGAGGTTAAGCAACTAGAATTGGTGATTTATAGCAATGGGTCTAACAAAATTCATATCAAAAGCTCAAGCTCTGGAATCAGACAGATCTGTATTTTAAACCCAGCTCTAATATTTATTGGCTATGTGACCTTTCTAAATCTCAGTGGGGAAAAAAAATGTTGGGAGGGAGGTTATAACAATTATTGTTAGGATTAAATGAGACAATGCACATAAAATATACTGTACAGTGTCTTGTACACTATGTAAACTCAAGTATCCATTATTACAATTATTAGAATAAATTTCCCAATTTGTTTCTGTTACTTTTCCTGATGATGCTCAACAACGTTCATGCATACTGGGTCGAGGCCTTCAAAGCACTCTGGTATATAACACTTTCCTGGTTTATGGGTGTTAACTTATAACTAAGAGCCCATTATACTATACTTTTTTTTTATATCTATAATTTATCTCTCATAAATCCTGGGAGCAGAAAACATGATAATGGAAGGAAGTTGAAAGTCTATGTAACTTTGCTATGATTTAAAATAATGACTGCTGTTTAATCTACAGGCATATGGGTATGTGTAGTTATGGAATTGTCGTAAAAAATTTTTAAATTGCTCTAATCTAAATCCTTTATTTCATTTGTATATATGTGAAAATATCACTTGTTCACAGTACCCTTGGGGTAAGAAACCAGATCCCTCATTCCTTGCCATGCTCTTTTCCACTACACCACACCACCAAATAAACTTACTTTGCCATTACTTTTATTTCTTGATCAAACTGTTGTTTCAGTTCTTCAGTACTAATGTCAACCACCTGAAAAAATAATATACAATATAACACAATACAATAACCCTAAGGCTCCTAATGCTAGAACATGGCTAAAGAGATCAATTGGCTGATACTGCTTTCCTTAAAATAGCAAGGCATTATTCTCCCCATTTTATAGAACATCTGAGAACTAGAAATATTAGTGATTTGCTCAAGGTTCCATGGCTGGTTAGTGAAAGGAAAAGAATCTTATAAACCATGTAAACATATAAACCTCACTGAGTTATTGTGGGAGTGAAAAAAAATTATATGAGACTTTACTGCATAAACATTTTGAAAAAAATTCTGTGGAGCAGAAAATACGTGACTTTAAAGGCAAAAAGAAAAATAAAACCTGCAAAAGAGTTTTTTTTTAGTATATATAACAGGGTGACTCTCTTTGTCATATAAATATGTACTATA